GGCTGTACCTAAATAGAGACACTGTAAGATAAGCAAGCCTGGAGAATTTGTTTGCAAAAGTTTTTTTAAAAAAGGCCAGAAAAGATCTGGACCAATACTGATGATTTTTGATTAGACTCAGAAAACTGGGAAAGCATCCAAGGGTTGAAGGAATTCTAATGTTGCACCAGTACACAGTGATCTCAATAGGCTGACTGGACTGATGCTCATCACAATACAGTAATAAAATTGCCAATATGCTGCTTTGATAGATTATGGATTAAAAGTGGATAATAAAATTAACCATAATCAACACAAGTTTAAGGAAAAATCGACGTCAAACTAATATGCTATAATTTTTTACGAGATTACAAGTCTAGTTCACACGAGTAATTATGTTGATATGGTCGGAATGATATGAAATCATCATGACATACATTAGCTGGAGACAAAAACCTGGCTAAGTAATGAACTCCACATGCAGCACTAAATGGGAACTCATTTGTGCACAGATGTACTTCTGTAATGCACAATTCTTGCCACTCTGTTCTTTATTTATTTATCACAACCTGACAGAAAACTAAAAAAAGTCACTGATGGATTTTGCAGTTGAAGTATATTTTTGGGAGAAGAGAAAAGAAATGAAGAGGACAAGTCAGTGATAGAAAAGCATGAACTGCTTTGGAAATGCAAATAATACACGTTCCAGTATTCCAGTGTGAAAAAATGAAACCAACATATATCTGGGGACAAAGTTTCCTGCTCCTACTAATTGGAAGGTTTTTTTCTCTCTTCAGAAGAGGAGACAGGAAAAAAACCCCAACGAATAAAGCTTGAGCCAATGAAGAAAGCAGCTGAATTAATTGATAGGGAGATGCCATAAATGACTGGATGGGATACCGCAATACTTGGCTGTAGGAACCAGGAAATTTCGGGCTGGAATAGAGAGACGATATTACCGCCAAAGGCACTGGAGCAGTTACACAGAGTACTGTGTCTTGTTCTGATATCCACCGCTTTTAAAAGCTGTTTAAGAACACTGAAAAAATATCTCAAAATGCTAGGATATCCAACATACCATTCCTCTCATCAGAGGCAAGGTCAGGTTGAGATTTGACCGCAGCATGAAAACTACATGGCAAACTCCACAACGATAATGGGGAGAGGTAAAGACAGGGCATTCTCTGAAAGGTAGACCAGCATCTCCTTAGCCATTGGACTCTAAGCAACAAGTAGTTAAGGAAAGATTTTGGGCATATTTTGGGGACACACTCGTAATCACAGTCATACCCTCTAGCAATGTAGTGAAGTCCTCTCCCCCTTAACCTACCTATGTACCTACCTACCTATTTACACAAGTAAATTGTATACCAGGACATGTTCCAGGAATGCCACAGAAGAGGGCAAAGACAGACAAAATTCCCACCATAGATGGTTAATTACAGCACTTGGCTCATGAGAGGCAGAACAACCACTCCCTCTGTGGAACTCATGCCCTCAAGGCTAGGGGGACACTTGGGCCAGTGACATAAAGGGATGATGTCTCCCTTCCTAGAGGAACAGTGGCATCATCTCCAATCACACTTGAACACAACTGTCTCACAGAAGGGTGAGTAGGAGAAATTGCTCACTCTTTTATTGCTGGAGAACTGCCTGATTTAAAAAGTTGATGAGTATAGGCCCAAAAATAAGTGACTCTTCCCTTAAATTCACACACATATAGACTCTGGCTGACATTTCCAATGTGATTAGTGTTCGCATTATCTCAACTTTCAACACGTAGCAGGCTCTCAACTTTAGGAAGCTGCCCTCTGAAGTTGCCTCAGATCAAGCTCTTCAAATGCACCCATCACTGTGGGAAACAAATGATGACAGACCAGACCTAATCACAAATGCAGGGGAAGAGGGACTCCCACCAGGACAGCTGGTGATGAGCACAGTCTTCTTGAAATGCCTGGGAACTTGCAACCTCCTGTCACCAACAAGCAGTTGGAAGTGGAGTATTGACAAGCTGAATCTGCAGCCCTGGTTGTTTGTGCACACAAGGGCATTGACATTCTTTAAACCAGATTGCCTTGCATGGTTTTAGGAGCTCTGAGAGGAACAGTGAGGTAGAGCGTTGACTTACAACTGTTGTTTTGGGTTTTTTCTAATCCTTTAATTAAAAAACCTGTTGAAGGTGGTTGGGGGAAGGAGTGTTTGAGAGTGGAGAAAGTTCTGATGATGTCATCTCCTATTGCCATGGAAACTGAACAGTTTTAGTGACAATGGAGTCTTCCTGCTTGAGCTGCTGGGTTGCGTGGGGAGCAGAGGCAAGCAGGGCAGGGGCACATTAGGAAATTCAGGTAACTAAAACTATAGCTTTTGGCTTTACAAGGAAGTGAGGAAAAAACTACAAATTATTGCCTGAATACATTGCTTATGTAGCCAAAACACCATCTTGGGCAATAGCAGCAATTGTTGTTATGCTCTTTGATAAAACCTACTGTCACGCAGTGAGCCAGAGGGAGATATCTCGGCTGCCCGGGAACGACCGGCAGAATGGTCCTTTGCCTGCACTCCACTTTTCCATGCTACAGCTTATTCTTCCAGCCTTTGCTGCCTTGGTGTTCATTTGGAAAGGGAGAAGAATGGGCTGGGAAGTACAGTCCTTGTTCTTGAAACTGAGAGAAGCTGTGTGTACTCTAGGCCGGGCATTACTTCCCAACACCACGGACATTTTCTTAAGAGTGAAGTTTATCACCTCCCTTGCAGAAAATGAGAATAAGACCATGAAAAGGATAAAGCTCTTAGAGAAAACTGATTAGCCTCTGATCAAGATCTAACTTACTGGCATGGAGAAAACATATAAGACCTAATGCAGGCTGTCCTCTCTGAGTCAGAACACTAAGGCAGCATCTGGACCAGCGTAAGCTGAAGCCATGATCCAGGTGTGGAATCAATAAGGATAAACCTTGGGGCTTACATTTCAAGTTAAATAAAAGCCTACAGTACACAAGGGCAAGTTTAAGCCTTGGATTTGATTTAAACAGTGCAGACAATTTTAATGAATTTCAAAGAATAATGAATTAATAACCACAAGCTTTTTTAACTCGAAATATATTATATAGTCATTAGTTCTATATAACTAAATGGAAAAATCTTTCTTTAGCAGAAGTCTTTTGAGATCAGATATTCTAATGAGATTACTATCATTTCAGCCTGACACCTCATGAAGACAATTGCATAGATATCAGGAAACAAATTTCTTTCCGTTTTGGACTTGAAGTGAAAAGTCCTCCACACTGATTATTTTATATCTAAGGAGTTGATACTAAGTCTCTTTGGCATTGAAAAGAGTTCAGATCTGAGTTTTTTTTTCTAGTACTGCTATCAGATGCACAAAAGAGCCTCTCTCTCCTCAAAATTCTGCCAGCAGTGGCAACTGAAGGAAATATGTAAATCAAATATTCTCCCTTCTTGTCTATGTAGTGTGGATTTCATTTATTTTCTGCATGAAGTACTTGAGCTCACCCTCTTTCATTTAACATTGTACCACTGATTTCATCATCTCTTCAGACAGCATCACTCACATACCATGCTTGCAGAGACACCAAGCAGAGCAAGACCTTGAGTTCCCAAGCCTTTTACTTCATATGAGTCTTTCTCCCAACACACCGCAGCATATCACCCACGCAGAGGAGCACCATGGGCTCCAATGTCCCCATTTCAAGCATACCAGTTCTTCCCTTTCTTCCTCAAAGGTTGCTCTGCTAGGGTCTTGCTTTCACTGCATCCAGTTTCCAGCAATTTTGCCAACAGGAGTTCAGACTAGAACATACAATGATCTGGTTTTTCTCATCGCCATGAGCTTTAACTTTAGCTCACAAGTCCTCGTGTCAGGCCATTTAAAATCAGATGCTAATCGCAGCAGGCTCAGCCACAAGAAAGGTCTTCCTATCTCACACATATTGTGTTAATTCAGAAAAGACTACAGCTTTCATCTACCTGTCCTCCTTTCATGCACTACCTGGCCAAGAATCAGCCTTCAAACTTTTACAACTGCACTGAGTTTGAAACTCTCTGCTCCTCCCAGAAGCAAACAATTATAAGCCCCTCTAGAGAGAATGACTTTCAAGCCTTGCTGTAGAAGAACTGTGTCAAAAGCAAATATAAAGACAGTGCTGCTCCACACCACAGGGGAAAACTCTGCAAAGTGAGCTCAAAATCACTGCTAGCTCAGTCAGCAATACTTGCACTTCCAGACAACGGTGGATGCTAGTAATTCCTCACTGGGAGGAAGAGAAAAGTGAGGGTTTCTCTCTGAAAGATATTTGCTTTTTTACAGTGAGAACAGCAATATTACATATTTATTTCTGACCTTTTTTTTTATTGTTATTATACCACAAGGCATTCTAATTGAAAATTATAATTCCAATAAAGCACATCCCACTGATATCAGAAATGGACATTTTGCTGTGATTCAAAAGGCAAATCCTGATAGACTTTCCACTTCATATGTGCAGAGGGGCAAATCAGAGCTTCACCATAGCAACTTTTTTGTAAAAAACACTCTAATGTCAGCTTGTCCTGATAGTAGTGTGGATAACCCTGGTGCAGTACAATGGCAAAAAGCCCATAGTAACAAAAATTACATTCCTACCTTTGAAACACTGCTGCTGGAAACAGAAACATTAGCTTCAGTTTGGTTCTGGTAAAGGTTACACCTCTTCTACTCAGACATTTTAAAAACAAAACAAAAAAAAAAACCAGAAAAGTTTCTGGGTTAGCTCTTCAGCTGGTACAAATTAACACCCTCTGCTGAAGTTGTGCTAGACAGATGGCTTCACATCAGCTGGGGAGCTAAGCTACCTTGTCTACTCTTTCTTCCATAGACTGCTAACCCCAGCATGCCTGATTCCAGTTCGGCAGATGTACTGGAGTAGCACCAGAGTAGAAACTTCCCTTCAGTTACATCATTTCTGTTCTATGCAAGAATCTAGTAAATACAGAACAAATAAACCCAGAAACTATCAACCTACCCAGCCATGACAATGAAGAAATCCAGGCGGTTCCAGGTATCTCCAAGGTAACACTTCTTGCCGAAGATCCCCAGGGCAACCATTTTTAAGACCATTTCCATGGCAAAGAAGATGAAGATGAAATCATCAAATACCTGCCAAACAGAAACCCAAGAGCACATCTGATAAGAGTTCCCAGCCTTTGACTTTAAAACCCAGAATGCACATAAATACAAATTTAAGTACTTCTGAAAATGAGTTAGAAGGGCTGGAAATCTTCTCCCATGCAGCCCTGGCATCACAGCTTCCTGCTGCTCAAGTTTGCAGAAGGTTTCTGTAGCTTCTTTTTCCCCTATAGGTGAAATAATTGATGCAGACTCAGAGACTCCTTAAACAGACTTGAAAGGAGGTGTTGGCTCAGCACCAGCAGGTCCAAATCCAGCCAGGAAAACACTGTTCTTCTGAGGTCCCCCAGGATGGGCTCCTCATCACCCTGCTGCAAATAGCTGAGCTGAGGACATAGTGCAGCTTCATGCAGAGTTTGAACAGCACATACTAATCACAGATAAAACCTTCAGATATCTGAAGGTCTTAGCCACAACAATACTATGAATGACATCCTTTGCTGTCACCTTCTCTTTGGGGAAGCAGCAAGCACAGCTAGCTGGATGTACTCATGGCCCTTCTAAGCATTCCTCTTATTCCCTCTTCCTTTGAGCATCCTAAATGCCACAGTACTTGTTGAATCAGTAATACTCTTGGCTCCTCAGCAGAGCAGTGAATGCAATGGGGGCTGCTGTTCTCTCCTGCCTGCCTCTTGCTGGCTGAGCTCTGAGCTATATATCTTGTAACTGTCTACATCAGGAAACTCCTGCTTATGTGCAGGATCGGGAGGATTAGCAGCTGTTCTGTATTGCATGGTCACAGGTAGACTTCATTCTCTTTCTCACCCTATTCCTCTCCTCAAAGCAAGCTTTTGTCACTTTACAAAAGGATAGCTTACTGCCAGGGACAATCTTGCCAACCTCTCTGGGAAGGTATTGCCCACACGCTGAAGGAAAGCATGCGTGAAAATTTGTGACTTGGACCGAAACACCATCACAACAAGAAGGAAGACCACTTACCTGCAAGATTTTACACCTGTCAGAAAGGCAGTCCATATCCTCACATGGCTGGTACATTCCCAGGGTAACGCAGTTCAGCAAAATCACCATCATGCTGACACACTCGAACCAGGTGGAAAAGAGTCAAGGAAAACCGCAAAAGCATCGTGACTGAGACAAGCTTGCTCTAGGCTTGGGGTAGCAAAATAGGAAGATTAAGGGAAAAAAGTGTTGGAAGGCTGATTCATTACATTCTTACATTTCCCCTCCTCAGTTCATCTCTACTCCACTCCTTCATTAAGCCAAAACTCTTTTAAAAAAGGGAAAGTAGAGGTAGTACAGAAGGCCTAAGGCATTTATACAAGTCAAATTATTGCTATGCTTAAACAGATGTTTGCTCCTCTCCAGTTGGTTTGCTGAGCCTCTCCCCTGATTGGTTTACTGAATTTTCCAAATACGTGGAAGAGACTTTCCATGGTGACCTGTACCAAAATGCATCAAAGACCTTTAAGATCTAGGGATCTAAATTAAAATGGATAGACTGATGTCTATTTAATCCTGGCGATTATTGCCCTTCTGGGAAGCAGGTACAACACAAAGCTAGAAGTCTCCCTCTAAGAAGAACCTGGGGGTAGAGTTTCCAGTGCTCCATCTGGTTATTCTGCTTCCAGCAGTAACCCACTATGGATAAAACTCCACAATGTGCCTAAGTTATTTAGTAACTATGGGGAGAAATTGTGTTTCTGACCCCAGCTGGTGATCTATTTATGGCCTAAAGCATGAGGATTGATAGTCCTTATAATTGTTTTCTCAGCTACACTTGTATCCCTGCAGATGCTTTGCTTATTCATTTGAATCCTTTGTTGATAATCTTGCTAAAATATCTGCTTTGATAATAGTTGGCAGCCCTGAGCTACATTGGCTAATTATACTTTACATTAAAAATTGTTCCCTCCTATTTATTTTTAATTTGTTGCCTTTTAATTTCATCAAGTGCTACTTCATTTATATATTAGAGAAGAGGATAAAAATGGTGTATTTGTCTGACCTTTTCTGTGCTTTCCACACCCTCTATCTGCCCTCTCTTCACCATCCCTCCTCCTTAAGACTGAAGGAGTTTTAAGGTCTGATAGACGCTTGTCCAAGAACTCATTTACAGAATTTTAGCTCTGAAAGTGGGCACGTGATACTTTTCCAGTGTTCCCCTTGAGACCTCCAACCTCTGGCAGAACCATCATTCTTGGGTATTTTACATACCTCACAGCAACATATCTGCCCAGTTTCCACTGTCAGACAACTTTCTTCTATTTTTTTTCAGTAATGAAATCCATGAAATTATCCACTTAAAATACAATCCGCTGAGCGCATCCTTTTTCAGTCCTTGTAGTACTGCATCTAAAAACAGTGGCCTGTATCTTTGATCACTTCTGAAAGACATTCAGCAACTATGGTTTGTTCTGAGCAAGTCTTCCATGCTCGTTCTCTGACAGTGATTTATGACTAACCTGTACAATCTGATCAAAAAGATTATTAATTCTTTCTTTTCTCCCCCAGCTGTTTTTCGGTGAGCTACATTCAGTTGCAAAATCAGACAAGAGCAGGGCACTAGTTCTACCGTACCAATTATGCCATAAGGTGATTTCAAGAATGTGTTATCACTATACCTCCCAAAGTTTATCCCAAGTGCTGTACAAAGCAATGCACATGGAGGCCACCCTTGATGTAGGCTGGCTTCAAAACCAGAGACCTTTTCTGAGAGGACTGTGCCAAAAGGGGGGCAAAAATAAAGTATTTGCCCTCAGGGGTCTATATAACACATCTTCAGCTTTTCGCCTTCTCTCCCTTCCAAGTTTCTTTAATGATCTGATCCAAAGTCCAGGAAAACAATTTGAGAGGTTTCCATTAGCTCACACAGGCTTTTCAGATAAGACTGCAATTCTCCTCTGGACTCTTCAAAATCTGTTTGGCATCATCATTCACAGAATTACAGAACCACAGAATGGTTGAGGTTGGAAGGGCCTCTGGAGGTTATTTTGTCCAACTCCCCTGCTCAAAATAACATCAACTACAGCAGATTGGTCAAGGTCACATATAGTTGGGGTTTGAATCTTCAAGTATGGAAGCACCAGAACCTCTCTGGGCAACCTGCTCCAGCATTTGAGTATTTACTCATAGAAAAAGTGTTTTCTTATGTTTAAATAGGACATCCCACTGTTCAGGCTGTGCCCATTGCTTCTTGCCCTGTTACTGGGCACAACTGAGCAGTCTCTGTCCTTTGCTCCTCCCATCAGGTATTGATACACATGGATAAGATCTCCCTGAGCCTTCTCTCTACCAGGCTGAGCAGTTCCAGCTCTATCAGTCTCTCCCTTTTTCAGGAGGTGCTTTGACAGTTGCTGGAAAGGCAGCACCAATGAAGTGCTGGTGAAGGGAGCAGTGCTGAAGGACATTCTACAAGGGGCCAAGAGTGTCAGAGTGGGCTGAGCCAATGGTTGCAAAAGTCCCTCTCCCTAGGCATAAAGAAGTCAAAAAATGGACAAAACCAGGGCTTTAGAACAGCCCTGGATGAAATTAATACATAAAAAAGTGGAAAGCAGGAATTGTTTTAACAGCCAAAGTGGTTTTTTTTATTCTTCAGAAAACATGGCACAAGAGAACTGAAGGCAAAGAGTACTACTCTTTGACTGCAGCCAAACTCAGGAAATTCAGGCAAAGGGGCTGAAAGTCAGGAGTTTTTACTTAATGCAGATCTACATGTCTATGCACATGCTTTGGCAGTAGCACTGTATGGATGGTGAGGATGGTCCCGTGCCCCTCTCACGCCTCTTGCAGTGTCCCCCCCAATAACATGCAGACCAGGGCAGAGTGCCTTTGGGCAGCTAGCAAAACCCCAAAGCACAAGATCTGACCAGTCATAACAAGTGCTCCTAAAAAGGTTGAAACTTGGGCCAGATGTGCAAGGCCCTCATCTTCTTGTTAAAAAAGCTGTGGCCATCTATACAATTTCTTCTTCCCTGCCTTTGGGATATCAGCTCTCAAAGTTTGCCAGCATTGTCTATGCTTTCCAAGGACGATGCTGGATTGCTGGCCATTCCCAGGCTATCAAAGTGATATTAGGAAAAGTCACTGCCCTACTGCTTTCCTTTTGGAGCAGTTGGGAACCTTGAAAAAACACATCCAATCTGCAGCAGAAAGGAAGAAAGTCCAAGGAGAAAACCTGAGCAGCTCCTGCCCCAAGTCAAGAGGGGTTGCTGCCTGCTTGGGTTGGTTGAGGGGGTAATTAGAAGTACCTGCTTCCTTCAATCCGGCTGCTCTCAACCGTAGCTACTGCCTCCTGTCACCACAGCAACAGCCTGCAGCCAGGTTTATCATCTTTCTCTTGGTGATGCCTCCCCTTTCCCACATCCCTCACCCCCCTCCTTTTCCCCGTGCCTGAGCCTGTAATTAATTGCAGCTGCTGACAAAGCCAGTCTTCATAATCTGCATCATTCAGTCAGAAGTTTCATTATTAATTAACTTCTTTCAAAGTTTAAATCTACTAATTACAAGCAAACCCATGCACATGTTCTCCCCACCCCAGCCCTTCCTCACTGCTGTTCTCCCTTCCCACAGTGTCACTCCCAGTACCTTTCCCCGTGAAATTTGAGGCCTCCAGCAGGTTTTAAAAACTAAAAGAAGACACACTCAATTTCTGCCCATTCTCGTCATCTCCTCTCCTTGGCCACCAGAAGGTGCCTCAGAGGAAGGTACCAGAAAACCTGCAGCAATCTGCTATGTTATAACTTGCCCTTAAAGGGAGTGTTTTCACCTAACAGTGACAGTTCACAGTTGATTCAAGCCCTTTCAGATAAAAGAGTCATGGCCCTCATTTGAAAAACAGAAAAACAATAAAAAGTATTTCCTGACTCCTTTTAACCATGGACTATTCTCATTGTGCACATAAATATCTCCGCCTTGTAAAAGTCCTGTTAAGCTCTTGGTTTCAGTACTGTCTTGTGACATCAAGATCCATATCTAGGTTAACTATATTTTGACTAAAACACTTGTACTGTAGTTGGTGCCTACCTGTGGCAATAACACTTTTCTTTGCTGCTGGCTGCCATCCCTGTCCTGCACCCTGAGCAGGACCTCACCTGAGCAGCTGCTGGCCAGTCCACTGTCTTCCAATGGACAGGGCAAGTCTGGGATGGAGAGAGACTCAAGAGGGATATGCATCGCCAGCACATGCCAGGAGAGACCCTTAATCCACTCCAAACCATCCGGCACATGCCAAAAACCACAAGTTGCAAGACAGTTAAGGTGTTTCTGGGAGCTGGACGTATTGTGGTAGTGCTTGATAACATGACTATATATAATGGAAGATGATGTTCGAAACAGATGATAGGAGACAGGCAAAGCTTTTGGGCTCGATTCCTGAATGACAAATAGCAGAAGCAACGTCTGCTATGTTGGAGCTGTAAATAGCTTGCACTTAAAAAACTGAGTACAACAACATTCTTGGGATTGGCTTTAATCTCTATTTTCTATCACGGACAAAAATACAACAGAGCAAAATAAAAAGTACTTTTGGGTCCCCTCTGCTTTTTCTCTATCATCAGCTGAACGGTAAGAGTACAAGCAGGCATGAAGAGCTCCCTACTGGCTGGCAATCCTGAAACCACAGAAAATATATAAGCTTTACAAGCATGACAATCCCTCAGTCTTTCCTGTTGCTGTCCACAAACCACTCCTGGGGTCCTTGTGCCAGTTAAGATCCTGAATATCTCAGACCTGGTTCATCTGCAGTAGAAATGCCTGAGAAGAAAGCGCTTACGGCAAAGCAGAAAAGCCAGCCCTGTGGTATGGCTAATCACAGTAGAACCCGCTCCTGCCCCAAAATGGAGAGAAGAGCAGTTCAGTCACTGCAGTGGAAACGTGAAGCCCCGTGCAATGCATCCCAAACACCAGCCAGCCATCATACAACTCCTTGTGGCCTCCTGCCTCTGAGCTTGTGCCAGGCAGGCTCAGCTGAGGGCAATGTGCAGGTGAAACGTCACACCTCCATCACTCCTCTCTGCCTCCCCTTTGAGCCCTACCACTCATCCTACCATCCTTCCCACCAGTTAAATGGCTTCACTCTGTCATTC